ATTTTGCATTGCGTGATTGCACAGATTCCATGGGTAATGCGATCTCCAGAATTCTTGGAATTGAATAAATTATTTTGGGAGCAATCGAGACATTTTTTGAGATTAAAGTCACAGTAAAAGTGGAAGGAGTTTTTGGGGATGTAATGTTTGGATTGGTCAAGCGGTTTTTTTTTTCTTTTTTTTTTTCGACACTTTTTGTCAACCCCTTTGGGTACTGGGGGTCGAGGAGGTGCTGGGGAATTTTCCTTGAGGATCGCAGCGGCAGACACAGCACGAGGGGAATAAAAACCAGTCCATGAAGATTCCTTTGCAGTCGTTGTCGGGGTCATAGGCCAGCAATCTGTGCCATTTGTATTTTTGCTCACATCCGCAGTCACCGTTGCAACGATTCGTGTGAGTTTTTCTGAGATAAAATGGAAGAACGTGAAAATTCTTCAGGTACTGACAGCCCGGGTAAAAAAAATTGTCATCAGAATATTTTTTCCAGATTTTCAAAAAATTTCTGGAAAACTTTTCCAGAAATTTTTTGAAAATTTGGAAGAAATAATCCGATTACATTTTTTTTTACCCGGTAGAATTCATGAAAATCTATTGAAAATATTCAGGCATTCCTCTCGCTATTTTCACGTTGAAAGAAAATCTCATTCCCCTTCTCCATTAATTTAGTTCACTCTTAATTTTAATTCAATTCAATTGCATGTGACATTCGATCTCGCGTGCTGCATCGCATGCGTCATTAATTCAAATGTCGGATAAATGCAAAATAAAAAGTGCGAATTGCTGTGGAAAAATCAATGTAGCGTGAAAATCTCGATTGAATTATCACCTCAAAATTGTTCTCGGGGTTAGGAAAAATTCTGGAATTTATTTATGAACAACGAATACGTACGAACAGACTTCCTGGTGAATCGCTTGCTCGAAGTGTTGGGTGTTGACGATGGCGCGAATTTTTCCAGCACTATTACTTGCCCAGTACGGAGTTACTATCTCCACTTTTGATTCGCAGGCATCCACCCTTGATAATATAAAAATTCGATAAAAGAATGTACAGAATAAAAATATTTTTACACTCCATAAAAATTCCTCGATTCTATGAATTTCACGAATTATTCGTAGAATTGAATATTGAATATGATTTAATATTGCGATGGAATAGAAAAAAAAATTGTTTTGTTGGAGATAATTAATTATTATAATTA